TGAAATTACTTCCGCCTAGAGGAAGGAAAGGAAGATTAGAGAAAACTTTGTGAAGGAGTATACTTAAAAAGTGTCTTGAAAGACTTATATATACACTTATTTCAAAGATGCCTGTCACTACATAAAATAATTTTAGAACCTGTCTTTAGAATTTGTCTACTTAACCTATGGTGAATCTTTTTTTTAAAACACCTGCAAACTCTACAGTATCTTCATATTCTGGTATAAGGTTTATATTTAAAAAATATCTAAACATCACATTTTTTGCCAAGTCTGATCAGAAAGTTGGGTTATTTAGTTGCATAACCCTGTTCTTTGTAGAAAACAAGATATACTTTTGAGTTAAGCCACTGATTTTCTAGTATGACATAAACGGAGCCTCAAAGCAATTCCAGGATGGGAGTTTAAAAATCATTTTGAACAATGGCAGCACCAGTGACTAATATTTATAGCATCTGAAGCTGATTACGGTGTTTTTACGAAAATAACTCATACCTTCTACATTTGTTCGCCAACGATGCCCTCTCCCTGAGAGGTATTTTCATAAGAGCCGCTATGCCAATTTTTTTTTTTTTTACATGTTGCTATAAAAAAAAATCAGCACAGTGAGCTTACAAATGTACCTGGGGAGGGCATGGGTAGCAAACAAACCTAGAAAGTACGAGTTATTTGTGTAAAAATACGGTAGTTTGAAAGAGAGCCCCGATTTGGGCATATATGCCCTGGTGTGTTTAAAAATCAGTCCTAGTATATTTGATATCTTGGTTTATTAAAAGAATAGACACCTGGGCATGCAAAATGCCTTGCACATTTTTTCTTCAGAATATATGCCATGCAATAAAGAAAGGAGTATAAAATGGATGTGCTTCCAAGATAGACCTATTAAAAGTATGTACTGACACCAGGAAATGCACACTGGTTTTTAAGAGCTCTTCGTGATTCTGGGCCACTTGGTTAAAAATATATTAGTTTATGTGTCCCAGGCATTCAGATATATGCTAAGTCACATGGGCCTTCTATGAGGGGGTCCATATCAAAGCATCACTCATCATTCTTCCAGTTAGGAATAGGGGGACTAAGGAGAACATGGAAATTCTGTAACAAAAAGCAAACCCTTAGTGTCATGGCTTCTCTCTTTTTGTCTATTTCCTGAGTTCCTCAGCTACTCTGTGTTCACCCATCCTTTGAGGCCAGGGTATCTTCAGTGTGGGATCAGCATGTCCTAGCTATACTAGATCAGCATAATAAATTAATGGATTGAAAAAAAAAACAAACACCCAGACCTTATAACTTTTAATGGAGTGTACTAAATTTAGTTTGGTTTGATGCAAATGAAAAAAAAAACACTTCAAGTCCTTTGTATGGACCAGTGGTTCTTAAACTGTGGTTCTAAGACCTGTAGCATTAGCATCACCTGAGAACCTGTTAGAAATGTAAATTCCCCAGCCCCATTCCACACCTTCTGAATCAGAAACTGGGAAGGAAAGGAGTGAGGCCCACCAATTTGATTTAACAAACCCTGGCTCCAAGTGATTCTGATGAATGCTAAAGTGTCAGAACCACAGGTTTAGAAACTATCCTCATCAGCAGCAGAGCCCTGCTGGTGCAGTGGTTAAGAGCTGGGCTGAAAACAGAAAGGCTGGTAGTTCAAATCCACTAGCTGCTCCTTGGAAATCCTCCAGGGCAGTTCTACTCTGTCCTACACGGTCACTATGAGTCAGGAATCCACTCCACAGCAACAGGTTTGGTTTCACTTTTCGGTATCATGAGCAGTTAAGAAAGAAAAAAAAAAAAAACTCTATCAGACTAAGGTATGCAACCTTCTATCAACTATACAATTTATTCTGCTACTCTCTAACCATCCTCCTGATCCCTACATTTACTACACGTAATTACACAATCAATGTCTAAATTCCTTGACAGAATATCTGTAAAAAGGCATGGCTTCTCTTTGTAAAGGGATGTATGGAAAAGAGACTAATTGGCTCCTTTTTAAAGTTTTCCTCAATGATACCATCCTCAATTCTCTCCCTTTCCTTTCCTCTCTCTCGCCCCCGAATAAAAGAATCACACACACACAAACACACACAAAACATTACTAGTAGGTGGTATTCTGTTTCCCAGAAGAAACAGGAAGATTTTATTAGCTTATATAAACACCCCATATTACTTGCAGTCCGGGCTTCAAACCGGTTTGTTCCGGTTTGATCTTCTGCTGAGAATTTGCATTTCTACCCCAGGCATACTGAATCAAAATCTACAGTTTAACAAGATCCCTAGGTGATTCTTACGTATAATAATTTTTGAGAATCACTGATCTACTAGTGGTTCTCAGAGTTGGTGCCTAACTAGCAACATTAGCATCACCCGGGAACTTGTTAGAAATGCAAATTTCTCAGCAGAGTTTCAAACTGAAAGGCACCAGTTCTCAGGGCTGCTTGCAGTATAAATTGCCCCCCATCTTGGGAGACTATCTATAGCCAAGCCTGTTTTAAAGAACTACTAAAACTTTTCTTTCTGCTATACATAAGGTTGCAAGACTGAAAGACTACTCAAGGTAACTAACAATAACAACAGAGCCTTTAGGGGGTAAATGGCAATGCTTGGTTTTGTGGTTAAACCAGCATACTCATCATATCTATTCAGATACATAACCCAGTACCTGCTGAAACTTAGTTTCATAATTCCCTCAAAAGGCATATTTAGAAGGAAGGGTTTCTCTGCCTAGGAGTTAAGACTTGGGTTACTGGAGCAGCGCTGTCCACAGTGTAATCGAAAGGGTTAAACTGTTCCCCCTCCTCCCACCCACCCACCAGTGAGTTCCTGATAAGGCATTTCTGTGTTATAGGCCGAGGTCCTTTTACTGTTTCTCTGCTCAAGGCTGCTTCACTACTCACCAACAGCCACCCCCCTCCATTCAGACATGAGCAATAAGCTGCAAAGCTATCCTTAGATAAACTTCACGCATCATACCTCCCCAAAACATATGCCCCCAGTCGCCATATTGCACCCCACACTGCACCCATTAGTTCCTGAAATTGCCCGCCTATTCCCAGAAACTTCCTGAATTATGCAGAAATTCCCTAACCTGAACCCTATAACTGCCCTAGAATCCCCAACCTCAGGGAGCTTGATTTGAGACTTAGTCTCCAAGCTCCTTGCTTGACCAGCTTGCAATAAAGTCTACTTTCTCAAAGGTCTGGTGTCTCTCAATTGACTCGAGTGGTGGCACTGGGTAGAACCCACCCTCACTGGATTACAACAGACATAATGTAATCCCCGTATGTAATTTCAAACTTTCTAGCAGCCATGTTTAAAAAACTAAAATGAAACGAGTGATACGAACGTTAAAAATATATTTCATTTTACCCAATATATCAAAACATTATTTCAACATGAAAACTATTTTAAAAAAGTTACTAGTGAGATATTTTGACCTTTTTTTGGTACTTAGTGTTCAAAATCTTGCATGTGTTTTACACAGATAGCACATTTCAATTAGACCATTGAAGTTCCATTGGAAATCCTTAATTTATACTTAGATTTCATACAATTTATCAATGCAGAAGTACTCACACCCCCAAGCTGTTCCAAACATACTTAAAAGTTTTCCAATAGCCGAGCGGAGTATCAGTTTCTACATTTGTTAAAAAAAAAAAATTAAAAACTTCAGTTCCTCGCTCACGCTAGCCACATTTCAAGTATTCAATAGCTGTATGTGACTAGCGGCTACCATATGGGGCAGCACAGCTCAAGAGCTAGGCCAGACGATTGCCTTTTACTGGCTTCCTTACCTTGGACAATTTACCTAGTCCTTTGCAAGTTTCAGTTTAACCTTTTCCACCATCAGTTGTATCGTCTGTTAAATGGGAACAGAACCCCACACTCAACATGTGTTTCAACTTCTGCCTACAAAACTAATCCAAAACCCAAACTCTTTGCCACTGAGTCCATTCCTACTCATAGCAGTCCCAACAGTCCCATAGGGTTTTCAAGGCTGTAAATCTTTACAGAAAGAGACTGCCACATCTTTCTCCCACAGAGCAGTTGATGGCTTTGAGCCACCTTCTTTCAGTCAGCAGCTCCTTTACAAAACTACACTACCTACAAAATCAGCTGTTTTCCCCTTTATAGCAGAGGTGGTGAACTCATTGCATCAGTTTAATAATAATTAAAAAAAAAAAAAAAAGAACCAATCTAAATGCCCATCAATATAATGGTTGAATAAATTTATCACTCAATACTCTGCAGCCATAGAACTGTTATTAATCATATCAATTAGTATATACGAGTGTTATATATTTAAAACTATGAATAGCATGTCCACTGCCCGTGTGCAGAGAAAAATCTGGAAAAACCAGTCACCCGTTAACAGCTGTTATTCGAAGCAACAGGATGGGGGAGGAGGAGGGCCGACACACGAGTTGTTTATATTTCTGTGCAGTTATTTTCCTAAGCAACTATTACTTAAGTAATTTAAGGAGTAAATCTGAAATGTGCTTTGGAACGACTACACTTTTTCCTCGTAATCTGGAATGTGATTTTTAAATATAACAAATACCCTACGGTAAGCAGAAACGGTTATATGAAAATAGTTATATCCAAACGAAGCCGACGTTGCCTTACGCGGCTTTCGGTTAGCGGTTCCCCGCCCGTCGAACGGAATCATAACCGCCCTTGACGTCAAGGGAGGCGGTCTCTCCAGGTTACCATAAGGTAGTCTCTGCGGCCATCTTTACTGTGGTCAACTCACACTAAGCCTGTGGTGATGGGAGGAGGGGCGCCATGGAAAATCTACAGGATAAGAGACGGGAACGGAATCATGCGTTTCAGTAATAAGTAGAAACACGAAGGACCAAGGGCGGAAAGGCATTAACTAAATTAGTGCAACACAGAAGAGCGCCTTTTGCGGACGAGCGGAACGTCTTAAGTGCACAGTGAGGTTTCTGCCCGGACTTTGAGAGCTGTTTCCGTTGCTCGCCGGAAGTGTGGTTCACAGGAGGACGGCTCGCAGAAGAATCCGCTATTCTCTGTGTGAACGGCCAGAATTATGTCGAGTTTGGCGGTGAGAGACCCGGCAATGGATCGATCACTGCGTTCCGTGTTCGTGGGGAACATTCCGTATGAGGCAACTGAGGAGCAGCTAAAGGACATTTTCTCTGAGGTTGGTTCCGTTGTCAGTTTCCGGCTGGTATACGATAGAGAGACGGGAAAACCTAAAGGTTATGGCTTCTGCGAGTATCAAGACCAGGAGACCGCGCTTAGTGCCATGCGGAACCTTAATGGGCGGGAGTTCAGCGGGAGAGCGCTTCGGGTGGACAATGCTGCCAGTGAAAAAAATAAGGAGGAGCTAAAGAGTCTAGGGCCTGCAGCGCCCATCATTGACTCACCCTACGGGGACCCCATCGATCCGGAAGATGCCCCTGAATCAATAACCAGAGCAGTTGCCAGCCTCCCTCCAGAACAGATGTTTGAGTTGATGAAGCAGATGAAGCTCTGTGTCCAAAATAGTCACCAGGAAGCTCGAAACATGTTACTGCAAAACCCGCAGCTGGCTTACGCGCTGTTGCAGGCACAAGTGGTGATGAGAATAATGGATCCAGAGATTGCTCTGAAAATTCTGCATCGCAAGATACATGTCACGCCGCTTATCCCAGGCAAATCTCAATCTGTCTCTGTCTCCGGTCCTGGCCCTGGCCCTGGCCCTGGGCTCTGCCCAGGACCCAATGTTCTGTTGAACCAGCAGAATCCACCAGCCCCTCAGCCTCAGCATTTGGCTAGAAGACCTGTGAAGGACATTCCTCCTCTGATGCAGACTCCTATCCAGGGTGGAATTCCAGCCCCGGGGCCAATCCCAGCTTCTATTCCTGGTCCTGGTTCCTTAACTCCTGGAGGAGGAATGCAGCCCCAAGTTGGAATGCCAGGAGTTGGCCCAGTGCCTTTAGAGCGAGGACAAGTGCAAATGACAGATCCCAGAGCTCCTATACCTCGTGGACCCATGACTGCTGCTGGCCTACCTCCTCGAGGACTGTTAGGAGATGCTCCAAATGACCCACGTGGAGGGACTTTGCTTTCAGTCACTGGGGAAGTAGAGCCCAGAGGTTACATGGGCCCACCCCATCAGGGTCCTCCCATGCACCATGCCTCTGGTCATGAGAGCCGTGGCCCTTCCTCACATGATATGAGGGGTGCGCCAATAGCAGATCCCAGGCTACTAATTGGAGAACCCAGAGGACCCATGATGGATCAAAGGGGTCTACCCATGGACGGTAGAGGTAGTAGAGATTCTCGAGGGGTGGATACTCGAGCCATGGAAACTGAGGTCTTAGAAGCACGAGTAATGGAGAGAAGAGGAATGGAGACCTGTGCAATGGAAGCCAGAGGAATGGAAGCTAGGGGCATGGATGCAAGAGGAATGGAGATAAGGGGCCCTGGCCCGACTTCAAGAGGCCCTATGACAAGTGGTCTCCAGGGTCCTGGTCCCATTAATATGGGGGCAGGTGGGCCTCAGGGACCCAGACAGGTCCCAAGCATTTCAGGGGTAGGAAATCCTGGAGCTGGCATGCAGGGATCAGGCATACAAGGAGCAGGCATGCAGGGGGCAGGAATGCAAGGAGGAGGCATACAAGGGACAGGCATGCAGGGAGCAGGTATGCAAGGGGCGGGCGTGCAGGGAGCAGGAATGCAAGGAGGAGGCATGCAGGGGGCAGGCAAGCAAGGTGGAGGCCAACCTAGCAGTTTTAGTCCTGGGCAGAGCCAAGTAACTCCACAGGATCAAGAAAAAGCAGCTTTGATCATGCAGGTTCTTCAGCTGACTGCGGATCAGATTGCCATGCTGCCTCCTGAGCAAAGGCAAAGTATCCTGATTTTAAAGGAACAAATCCAGAAGTCCACTGGCGCTTCTTGAAAGGTTTTAGAAAATACTTGGCAGTTGTCTCAAAGTTAATTTTGTAGCATGGTGAATGGGTGCAAAAAGCTGACTTCTGCATCCCCATACTTAAATGATAAAAGTTTCCCCCCTAGAGCGTAATCTTGTTTCTTGTTTTTTTCTTTCTCTTTTGCTTTTTTCTTTTTTTAAATGGGGGATAGGGGAAGAGGGAGTGGGTCTGTTCATGTTAAGTTACCGTAAACACAAAAATAACATGATTGTATTATACCAAGTAAGATTACAAAGAATGTGCAGCAATATGAAAAATGTCTCCAATACGTTAACTCCATTTTAAAATATTGGGTGGAACTATGTGAAAACAAAAAACCCTAAAGGCTTACCTGTTAAAATGGTAATGTGCTAAGATAATTTAAGGTTTTTTGGTTATATAATAAGAGGAGCCCTGGTGTCTTAGTGGTTACAGTTCTAGGCTGCTAACTGAAAGGTCAGCGGTTCGAACCCACCAGCTGCTCTGCGGGAGAAAGATGTGGCAGTCTGCTTCCGTAAAGATTTACAGCCTTGAAAACCCTATGGGGCAGTTCTGCTCTGTCCTGTAAGGTCGCTATGAGTCAGAATGGGCTCAACGGCAATGGGTTTGGTTTTTTCGCTATAATAAAATAAATTTCCTTAAAATTATACATATATTTTTTGGTAATCCATTTAAAATATGAAATTCTGTTTTGGGGGCAATTGGATGCTGTATTATGTTAAGCATTGTTTTAGTGTTTTGGAATTATTTTGAAATGTTATTGCTAACAGGTTAAGTCTAAACTTATGGTATTGGAATTGTTTTTTCTAAAGTGATGTTACCTGAAAAATCAAGGAATGCACTGGTTTGATGTTGCTTTACTTATTCCGCGCATCAGAGACCCACACTATTCTGACCTGGTCCTGAGAGATGATTTTGCTGGGGTAGTTCTTGCCAGGTTACTTAGGTCTGCTCTGATTAGACTCTCCTATTTCTCAACAGTTTTTGAGCCCTAAATATCAATCTGAGTAAGTCTCTTACATCCTTCCCAAATTCTGTGCCTAGAGACCAGTTGATCTGGAGTAGTTAGACACAGCATTGGGCTTTTCATAAAAAGTTGAAGGCTTCAGTTTCCTGGTAACTAGCTTCCATATACAGATGGCATCCGTTTGGCTAGCCAGGATCAGGAGTTAAAAATCTTAGTCTCGTCAGCATTTAACATGCATTTATTTTCCTTTTTTCTCAACTGTCACCATCTTGGATCAGAATAATTTCGGCCCAAGTAGATAAGGGGTATTCTTTTAGCCTGAATTTTCTGCTTAATTGGCTTATTGTTCATTTTACTTTTTACAAGTAATAAAACCATTTAGTCCTAAAATAATACCCATGAGATCATACTTAAAAAACAGTAAAAAGGTGGGGCTTATCACATTTCCTTAGAGCTACTACCTAATTTATTTTTAATCCTGGAAGATGTGGACACATGGAAGTTTGTATCAGAACAAGTATTAATTAACAGAAGCATAAACTCCCAAGTAGTCAGATGATCTTTCTCTGGAGAAGAAAAACCAATACAGAAAAAATACCATTTAATACAAGGAGAGAGCTGAGACTTAGAGTTATTTTCACTTTGCAAGGTTTCTACATCTTAAATGGGTAATTCACTCTCTTTTTACAAAGTTCTTCATCCCTGTGCTGTTATTTCCTGCTACTTGTTTTACTTTTTTTTTTTTTTTTGGTACGTACTGTTAATTTTCCCATGTTTTCAATATGCTTCTCCCACATTGGAATGATAATTCTACAGGTGATATTTCTGGTTAATACTAATTGACAGAGTTGGCTTGATTACTTGAAATTACAGTTGCTCTGTCCCAAAGCTTTCACAGAAGGGTGTTAACTGAAAACTATTAAATGTTATGCTTTTTTGTAAAGTTCTGCATTCTTTAATGCTGACTAAATAAAAAGAATGCATAATTAAGGCTGACTATGCTATCTGATATGTTTACTTGTTTTTAATAAACCCATTATGCAAAAGTCACGTCCTTTGAGAGAGAAACAGGACCTGATTACTTTTATTATTTTCTTAATGAAAAAGGCAAAGCTAATGATATCGCAGGAATGAATGGAAATCCTTTTTTTAGATCCATTATCCAGACAGTTCCACAATTGAAATAACTATAAAGATATGTGTTATTCTATGGGTGGTATCAGTAGTAACATCTTGGTAATACAGTACTCAGATGTGATGTTTCCTTCTGTCCATATTCCCCACAGAGAAGTCATCTCTGTGTTCCAGAAGCACCTTACACGCGTCTTCATTACTGACCGTGCTTGATAACTTCAATGCACTGTGGTTGTAGTTTTTTTACTCCTTACCCCCACTTCCACTTCTAAAAGACCATGACTCTGAAGACAGGGTCTGTCTTACTCATCTCTGTATACTCAGTAAACCAAAAACCAAACCTGTTGCCATCAAGTAAATTCCTACTTATAGTATACTCAATAGTTAGCTTAAAACCACAGATGGGAAGGAAGAACAAAACATTATCAGTCTTAGGGAAGAGAAAAAAAAATTAAAAGCACATAAGCTTCCCCTAAAAAGATTTAGATTCAACTCAGAACAAATGAGCTATGACAACAATGTGCATTAGAAAAAAATTTGAAATAGAAGAAATCACCTTCACTCTGATAATAAAATGGGTTTGTTCGCCTCACTTCCAATTCACTGAATGCCCCAGTATTATAGAGAGTACAGAGCCTTATTTCATTTGACAGTGAAAAATAATTCAGGCATTATATGTCTACCACACAATATTGGTTACACTTCCTGGCAGCTTGCATTTTCCCAAATATTGATAAGATACATACGAAAGCAAACTCATATAACAATAGCTTAAGAGAGTAGAGTAAAACACTAATTCAAATGCCCCTTAGGGCTTTTTCTCCAGGGCAGTACATTTCTTGGGGGTATCAAATGGTCAGATTTAATCAGTGCCTGCCCATTAGCTCTTTCCCCTTAGTTACATTCTGATGATTAATGTGAATCTCAGGCAAAGGTAGGCTAATCTAAATGAGACTTATGTATGACTTCAACTACACTTGAGAATTCTAATGGTAGAAAAGCATTCAAAACAAACCATATAGTCACAGCTTGCAAACCTTGCTTTTCCATGCTGTGATGGGATGATGGGACATTAAACACACAGAACCTCATTTCCTATGGTGTGTCAGTCCTTTCTCTTAGATTTGATGAGGCCTAAGGATAATTACGTGCAACAACCTACTGTGGCAGAGAAACTGAATTATCAGTTTAATGTCACGGTCTTCACACAAAAGAATATGTCAGCCTCTCACTATGTAAGTCCATCACATGAGTTAATCTCTAGACAGGATTCTCAGCAGTCTCTTGTTAAGAGAGTACACTGTAGTTGGGGACTAATTTATTTTAAAGAAATATTAATAATTAAAATGTCATTAATGTCAAATACTATTAATATTGTTATGTAATATATTACATAATACATTAATAATGTCATTAATATCAATATATATGATTAATACCATTGATATATATCAGTATCATACATTGTATATTAATGTATATTTCATATACATATATTTTTTCAGACCTTAACTGAACCAGATCTTTCAAAGTTTTCATTTGCTTTTATGCATACTGAAACAAAAGTTTCCACTTTTGGTTGAAAATTCAGTCTCACAAATGTCTATATTGCAAATTACCTTTCTCATGAGATGTTAACTAGTATGTTTTTTCTTGGTATTTTTTTTCACCGTACGTAAGTTGGTAGAGGGCATGCACTGTGTCCAAAATGACATTTGGGGTACTATTGTCAAAAATCACAAACTCGGTACTTATTTAAATACTATACATAAAAGCACCAAAGTATATACCGAGAAAAAAGGAACAAAATGTTCTGGTTAATGATAACTTTATAACCTGGAGGTCATTTAGGTCCCAAATGTAGGTAACTAATTATCAAGGAGTTAGAATAAAATACACATAGCATTCTCAGCCATAGTTGATTTTGTACCACTCAGTCATATAAAACTGCAGATATTTGAACCTAATCTCATATATGCCACAAAGACTGGTCATTTAAGAAAAAAAAATCTGCTTAATTTACTATTTGCTTATTTGTCGTCTCTCACAAGGTAGAATGAATAATCTCTTCAGCATCAAGAAATAAAATCAGCAGTTTCCCCAAATTATTTTGTCTCCTTTACTGAATGTGTTGACTTAATCAGAATTCTGTCTTGTTACATTAAAAATATTCTTCAGTGTTTCTACTGCAGAAGTCTTTGGGCCACTTCATTCTTGTCAGCCTCTGCTTGTTCCACTAACTTTGTTGCCTAGAGTGACTATGAAGCAGGCTGTACCAATTTAAGATTTGTGCTGATGTATTTTTTTATGAACATTAATGTGAAATCTTCAAATATATATTCTTCATAAAAAAATATGTCTGATATAACTTAGGCCCCATTTTCCTTTATCTTAATGGTTTAATAAAATTCAAAGCATGAGCCACATTTTAAAAAATGATATCTTTAATAATGTGATAGAAATGCTTATATAGGGTTTGCTTGGTGTATTAATATTCATGAAATCATATAATATTCTATATCTCAAATATCACCCTCGTTCACATGTTAAACTAATATAGTAACACAAATCAGAAAGACTAAAAACATTGCCAGACACCAGGGTAAGCATAACTGTTGCCTATCAACAGAATACATTTATCTTTAGGTAAGCCTATATCCAAGATGATTTCATCCTTTTGTAGTTGTCAGCCATCAAGCGGAAGAAAAAAAATCATTTATTTTAAGCAACAGAGAAATAACAAGGTTGAAACCTCTAGACTCATCACCCAACCTTCACCAATTTTATCAGATTTGTCCTGTAGAAGTTTAAATGTCTTTGGACAAGGAATCTCAAAATTGTAGCCTGTAGGCCAATTAAACCTGCAGAAGTGTTTTGTTTGACCAGCCCAAAGTTCTCAAAAATTTTGAATTTGGTGTGCAATATATGCTCAAGTTTGGCCACCGGTCCAACCTCTGCCCCTATGGTCTTGTCTTACACTAGGTACGATTCACACAATTACCTGCTAGGCCATGTAATACTTTTGAGTTTGTAACTCCTGCTTTAATTCAATTGAAATTATTAGTGTCTAATTTGATAAATGTCAAGCAGAAAAAAAGATGTTCGGCAGGTGGCTCAGCAAGTATATTTCTATAAACAGCAAAACAAAAATATAAAAACAAAATTTACAAAAAAAAGTCACGGGGCATTTTTTATTAATAGCTTACCACGCACAAAGGAATGTCATGGCAAACTAACCCAATCAGTCTATTTGCCACCCACCACAAATCTTTTAATTTTTCAATAAATATTAACCCAAAATAGCT